GGCAGCTGAAACATGCTGTCAACACAACACTGATACATACTAATATGTCACTTTTAAAGTGCAGTATTCACACATTTAGAACAGAACACAGAAAAACATTAGTATTCATTTTGGAGACTTTGATTTCTGGCCACCAGCATGAATGTAATTCAATATTTACTTCGTTTTAGCTTTGTTTATGGTCTCCCAACTTAAGGATGTATCTGGCTCTTTAGCTGCTAAATGCTCCCATGTGTGTTACCAGTAGTCACTAACTGTATGCTTTTTTGGTGCTGAGTCGATAGTATTACAGGTTTATTTTTAGAGCTTTGTCACAGCTGCCTGCTGTGTCCAAAAATGACACTATGGGAACAGTAAGAGTGAACCGCAAACAAAAGGGCTTGAAAACTAAAAGCTGAAACCTGGATAAAAGTCTCCATAAAAGCCGAAGGAGCGCAGTCTCGGTGATAATCTCATCATATCATTTCAGATCACTGTTGTTATGAAAGTATTTGATTAGAGAACTTTAAAGTATTTCTCATCCATCTTGGCTAAATGTTAGCTCTGCCAAGGTTGATGCAGTATTGACTGTACAGGTTTTTAAAAAAAGCAGACAGCAGCATGATAATCGAAAATGACAGGGTTTCACTGATTTATAGTTCTAGACAATCCATATTGCTGCACTTTTAGATTCCAGCGTATTTCTGATTCCTGCTGGTTTTTTTGTCTTTCCAGGGTAGCACCTCTTTGTGGGGCAGGGCAGGAGCATGTGGTGGTGGCTGTTCAGATCTGTAGCGTACTGTGAATGACATGGCTCAGAGACCCTCCGCTTTGTCATCGGTGACGTGGTCACTAAAGTTACAGCAAGACCCCATCTGCCCTGCCAGCAATAGTGACCAACACGGACGTGAGAGACTCATACTGAAACTGAACACACATCAGGTTTTATACTTCTGGCACAGTCAATTGTACTCTTTTAACGACTGCCTTGATAATCATTTAAATGTTTAGGTTTACGGTTAGGGGTTAAATAATGTGTCACGTGTCTGTTAAAGTTTTCCATATTTGGACATCCTGACAACTTCTGCCACAGAAGTGAACAGCCACCTGAACATCATTGAGAGGAGGACTCTGCAGTGTTTATGCTGAGCATGAGCAGAACAGCTGGTCTCACAGATTTCTTCCTTCCTATTTATTTTGTTCCTGTAGACAAGGGAGGACACACACACACACACACACACACACACACAACACACCACACACCACCACACACACACACAACACACACACACACACACAGCACACATAAACCTGGCATGTCTTTTAGCTTGCTATTTCTGCCGACAAAAGGGAAAGGTGAGAGACACAGAGAGATTGTCAAGACTGTTGAGATGCCTCATCATTTTGCGCTCTCGTTTTTCCTAACAATATCTGATATGTGTATTGATGCTATTTTAATATAGTCCCTATTATTTTATGCTGCTGTTGGCAAGTGCTCTCCTCCTCTTTCTTTCCCTTTCTTGCCCGCTGACAGATGAAAGACAGACTTTTGACATAATCAGCACAACCTTATGAACAGCCATACTGTAAGAAACTGTGATGCTCTTTATTCTTTTCAGCCAAAAACATATCACACACTTTATCTACTATTTCTGTGCATATGTCTTCCATGTTGCATCAGTTGAAGCATACAGTACACTGTGATATTCAAGTAGCTTTTTTTTTTACAAGCTGCACTGTCAAACTCCAACTTTTTTACTTTTTCTTTTGTTTTTTAACTTTCTAATACTGCCATTGTTCACATAATTGAGGTCCATAAAGCACTGTAATTTGTTATTGGGTTTATAGCCTGAGTACTAATAAGAGCAACTGTGGCCCTTTGTTGATCCCTGTAGGGAAATTTTATTTTCAATTTCCCACAAAGCACAGGGTCAGCTATTTACAGGCTTGGTTTTATACAGGGTCACTTGAGCCTTTCTGTCCTACCTTCTGTTTCTCCACAATAGATGTTTCCTCAGTATGTGCGTGCGTGTGTGTGTGCGTGCGTGCGGGTGAGATTGCAAGGAGTATATTTTTATCTTAAATGAGAATCTTCCCGCTTCCCCTCTCCACATCTTCAATTCCCTGCTGCTTTCTCTTCATCCCCATTTTCCCATTTCATCACCCCACACACACACACACACACATACACACACACACATGCACCACTACGTTTTAGAGCAGAATTGGAAACCCAGACAAAATGAACAACAGACCATATAATGAGACCATGAATTTAATAACGTTAATTCAGCCGGTGCGACGTTTTGTTTGATGTCGAGTTCAAAGCGTTATTAGATTTGATGCTGCTGCAGACAAAGTATCAGACATGAGGGGGGAAAATGAATCCAGTGAAACGACATCATGTGATCATATTTGTGGGCTTGTTTCAGTAAACTTAAATGTCAAGAAACCTCAAGAATACAAAGATGCTGACCGAAGGTTCAATACTGATACGTGCCACAATCATTTTATGCTATATACTTAATTGTGTATTTCCTCTGTGTGGCTCAATCTGCTGTGTGTGTGTGTGTGTTTGTGTGTGTGTGTGTGTATGTGTGTCTGCCTAGTGCACAGAAACTCCTGACAGTGTGAGAGGAAAAGCAGGCATCCTGTCTGAACTGACAGATCTAGAGCTAATGTAGGCCCCAGGATGCACTTCATAAACGCACATGGACACATCACACACGCATATACACACACACACAC